CATCTTCGTGCAAAAATCCTCGCAAATGCTCATGTAAAAGCATTGAAAATTGACCATCTACGCAACCAACCCATTTCGGCGTAGTTACCGCAAAGTAGGGGCATTTGAAAAAAAAGTGTGAAAACAAACTAAAGCAAAAAAATTGGATTTTCGATCTTTTCGATTTTCTTTCCATCAATTGGTAAATCCTAAAGTTCGTCGCAAGCGGAGGTAAGAGATGGAAGAAAAGATCATACCTTCTTATCCGAGCTGCTGGGAGACTTTCACTTTCAGAGAGATTGTCGTAAGCTGCCACATGAAAATAATCTACCATCGATGACGTCATAATCGAAGAGCTGCTAGAACAATCGTTGAATGATAAAAACAAAAAAAATGACCATAAACATACTTGATCGGAGGTAAGATGAATCCCGAATGTTCTTCCACAGGACTTAAACTACCATCAAGTGGTCGAACTGGTGAACCTCCTAACTCAGACAGAAAACCTTTAAAAGACCTCATTTATCAAAGAAAACTAATCTAAAGTTATAACTTTTACCAGAAGAGCTCTCACCGACTCCTGGAGCGGAACCCGAGGTAAGATGTGTGTTCTTCGATGCAAAATACCGATTCAGACCAAATGATGCTGATGACATAGATGATCTACATGATGACAGCCGCGTGAAGGGCTGGAAAAAAAACGTATTGTATCAAAAAAGTAAAACATGTGACGTAAGGTTTCTAATTTTACTTTTGGAAGAATTCGAGCATGACAGAACTTGACTAAACACCACGTGAAAAGGGAAAAGAAAATTTTGGGAAAAACAGAGGAGCTCATACAAACTATCCTACCGTGTGCAGATTTGGCTCATCATCACTATCCCCTCGAAACAGCAGTGGGCTTGGAAGTACACCATCATAGCGCCATTTCCTTGCGGAACATGATCGTGCTCGTTTCTTCACTGATTGCGCGCCTTCTTGTGAAGATATAACGCATAGTGTCTTCCGAGCAGATCTGCGAATAAAACAAAGGATTCAGAAGAGCAAATCTCGCAAAATAACGAAAACTTACCTCAGGGAAGGTGAGCATACACTGAGGTACA